AAGTACAAATGCACACCAGACCTAACTGCCATAAGGCGACCTAAACCACGCGCGATGAGAGGACGAGGGAGAAGGCTAACCAAGGGGGCAGGGCAGAAGAAGAAACGTGTATTTCCTGCCTGATTCCACCAAAGACTGGCGGGAGCTTGAAGGATGCCGGGGGGGGGGGGTCCAATAGGCAGAGGAAGAGCAGGCACAGACAAAGGGGAACAGCATGAGTTATGCGCAAAGGATATATCTATTTTATAAATAAGGCAAGCTGGTGAGCAGTCCTGTGTAACTTGATGCTTTAATTTTGACGTGTACACTTGAGCACTTGAAGTGTTAGTATTTGCATTTTCTCCCTATTAATAATGTTACTGATAGGTTCGAAGTAGTCTTGAACTCATTCTGGTGTGGAATTCGCCTGCCTACAAGGTCTTTTCTACCACTTGACTCCTTCATTTACTCGGGGCAGGCTCTAACATGCAGTTCGTGGAGAAAAGTGAAACCGTAGGCACCAACGGCACTCAGAATAAAAAACACATTTTGAAATAAAATAAAGGTTAAGCTCTCATACCAACAGACCTTGCCAGATCAGCAAAAACGTAGGTGTTACAGGAAATCGCTATATTGTGCAATCCCCACTTCACCCTCCACAAAATTGCACTATAATTCAAAATAAGTGAAGCAACAATTGGATGGATGACCAGTTTTTGTTGTTTACATAGTTTAATGCACAAATGTGCAGTTTCCATGACTTTCAGAATGACGTGATTTACATGAGGCTTTAACAATAAATAAACTTGAAGTGCTGTGTATAGTTAGCATATGGCGAAATTTTTAAGCAAAACTCTTTCTTCCACTCCCTGCAAGACATTTTAAATACTCTCCCCTATTGGAGATTTTTTTTTTTGTCTTTAATTTACACCGTGCTAATTCCCCTCCTCTGCAAATATAAAAGTTTTGTTTTATAAACAAAATCTAAGGGTGGAAAATAAAACAAAACAGAAAAACATGTTCTTTACACATTAGTGCCACAATAATCAGTAACAGCTGCACATAGACTTACAGATATTTATAACTGCCATTTTAAAAGTTAGCCATGGATACCATAAATACTTATATTACTATGTAATAACTTATGCCTTTTCCGCAGCCCTGCTATGTATTATCTTCTTTAACCACCTGGCCTGTCGGAATATCTAGGAAAAGATTAACAGAATTACTTGCTATGAATCCCCAAAGCACACCTCCTGGGAAAAGACACAAATAAATCCTTAAACAACAAATTATTCTCTTGTCAATTTTTTTTTAAAAAAACTTCCATACAAATCTTACATATACACGTGGTTTCCCGGGGAACATGTTCTGACCAAGGTTAAGGTCACGCCTCCTCCCCCCATTTCACCATAGTGTTTTCCTTCCCTTTCACCTACTTGGACTTTATGTAAAAGAATTCTGATAAAGTTTATGACCACAACCACATTATAGGGAGATAACATCCTAATTCCCTCTGACCAGAAACAGGAAACAAACCCCATAGAGGCAAAATCTCAGTCTGAAGTCACCTCTGGCACCTGTCCTTCTGGAATTTCAGGAAGTCAATGAGTTGACAGCACTGGGTGAGGTGTGATCTAACACAGGTGCAAGACGGGAGACAAGTCAGGCCAGGACTACACTCAGACATTCACTGACCAACTAAAGAACGCGCTGGAATCTGAGTTTTTAAAAAGAGAAAAGGGTTATCTCGCCTATGATAGCTGTTCACTAAAATCATCGTTAAGAAATACCTGCATCCTCGTAGTTCACTGAATACTCTTAATTCGGAAACTGCCACTATAGCCGTTCGACAGTTTTTTGTTTTGAGCTACATTTCTATGCCCACCTGCTACAAATCTTTTACCTGCAGTACTTCGTGTGGAAACTCATTAAAATGCTCTTGTGAATGCGAGCACACCACCGCTGCCTCCCCTCTGTCTGGTGGTACAGGACCTCTCCCTCATAAATTCATGCTAATTAAATTATGCTTCTCAAGGTGCTCCCTCTCATGCAATCCTTATGTAATTGTGCCTAATATTTTCTCCACAATTGATGTTACATTAAACAGGCTTTTACTACCTGCTCTCCTCCTAATGGCCCTTACACTTTTTTTTTTTTTTAGCTCAAAGGAGACAGGCATTTGACATGACAAACTATTTTAAGAGTTTGCCTTAAGCTTTCATCGAGTTCTTTATAATTTTCTTAATGATACATAATATACACAAAGGCTCAAACAAATATATCTCTTTGAACGCCGGGGAGAGCGTTATATTTTAAAGCTCAATGAAAGAAAGAAAACAGGTCGGTTCATGGGTCATAAGCCAGTTTTATCTCAAGGCCGTGATGCTGTAGGGGAGAGGATGTGTGGATTCAAAGGAGTACAATGACTCTTACAAAAATTATCAACAGTCGTTACATTTTCCACAGATAGAGTTAAAGGATATTGATTCTTTCATATGATACTTGGGGTTAAAAAAAAAAAGCTAAATCTGACAAAGTATGTGAAATCTTAATAAGTATCTTGGCTTGTGTTTCAGATTCTCATCAGAATTTCCTATTTTTAAACAAAATGTAGAGGGAGGAGTTGTCTCCCTCACACGTTGCTGTGCTTCGGCAACCCTGTGGAATACATGGGGAGCTTTACAAGAAATGAATAATTTGTGGCTGAAAAGATTAGAGATGATAGAATTTCATAACTTTGCTAAGTATGTAAATAGCTTGTCTAGAACCATACGAGAAGCTACTTACATGTGCACTGCTGGCTTCTACTACTGCTATGAACGCCGTTAGAAATATCACTCTTAGCATCATATAGATTATTAACATTTTCTGGGCATTGTTTTGGTTTGCTCGTTTTAGCTTTTCTTCATCTTTTCTGTCCCTCCTTGGGAATGAGTACACATTCAATCATGTAGTTGTGACACCGTACTGTACCACATCCGTAAATACTCCAGAGCACTTGCTGAAACGTAAGTGAGTGGCTATGTCTACCCAACGTGACTACTATCTTTTTAAGTTCTGTGAAAGAATTTTTTTATTTTGGAGATTCCATGCACCATTGCATCACAGAAGCTCCACTAACGACTGCTGATTGGCAGAGCCAATCAAGGGGGTGACTCATTTTATTTAGTTAGATGCTTTTAAAAGGTCAATGTTTTAATATTAGAATTTTCTCTAAAATGCATCAATTCATCTTCCTAGAAAATAATTTCTTTTTCCCTGTAAAGTGTTAAATGTGATGATTAATTTTCGCTAACATTATTGAGTACCTCCAATGTTCCAGGAGCAATGTTCTAAAGTGTTTTGCACGGATTAACTCATAATATTATTATCCCTCTTATAAAAATGAGGAAATTGAGGCACAAAGAGGTCAAGCGGCTTGCATGACATTCCAGTGCCAGTCAAAGGGGAAGATGGGACCTGACCACGCTAATGACCATGCTCCCTCCTTTCGCGCTCACGGGTCTCCTAGGTAGTGAGGAAGAAAACCACAAGCACTCCTGCTTCTGTGGACGAGTGGCCTCATCGTCAACCATAAGTCAATAATAAATAAATCGATGAGACACATCTCACGACATGTGCCTGATCAGCCACGTAAGCCTGAGTGGTGACGTCACTGGCAATCACGTCCTCACAGAGCTCCATACTGGAGCTCATCGGAGATTTAAACAGACCACAGGCATATTTCACCACAGGACACTATGATCCCAACCTGGCTATAGGTGAAAATAATACCCCTGGCTTGTCAACACTGCAAATGGCGACTAGGGGTTGATGTGAAATGAACTGTATGAAGACTTGCTCAACTTTCTGAACACGTCAGCTAAACTTACTAAGACTAGACACACACAATCATACATTTTGCAGGTTACACCCCACACCTAGGATTAGAAAGAACCAGAAAAAAAAACTTGCATTACCTTCCCAGAGAGGAAGCAGTATAATACAGCCAGTCTCCAGTCAAACAGATCTGGGTTCAGATCTCATACCTATCACACACTGGGTGTGTTACCTTGGGAAAGCTTCACACGTAAGCCACAGCACACGCTTCTCTGAAATGAGGATGCTAGCAGGTGCAGCAGAGTAGGCGTGGTATGAGCATTAAATGAGGGGACAGAGGTGAACTTATTTGCATTCTCCTTAGCATCCTGTAAGTGATCAATAAAGGGCAGCTATTAATAGATGATCTCCCCAACCAGCGGTCCGCCTTGGCAGCTTTGAACAGTGGGACCTACTTCCACAGAATTTCATTGTTACTGTTTTCCAGAAGGGATCAATCGAATCCTTTTTTTAAACGTCAAATGTAAACACAAAGAGCTACGTCTACGCACAAAAGAGAGGACAGCACAAAAGAAACCCATGTACTTATCAGCACCAGCTCACAGTGTCTAACTCTGAAGCATAAGTAATTTATCATAATACTAAGCCTTGTTAAAAATTTTTATACTCTGTTTAAGGGATAGTAATATTCACTAGCTTTCCATTGAGAAAAGAGAGGTAAAGACGGAGAAGTCCTCTGTACAAGCCACTGGTAAGACAGGGACCTCATCTCTGGTCTTTAGAAATACAGTGAGGGCACCAGACACGTTTTCTCACACCCTTCCTCCTCCCTTAAAAGAGGGTCTATTCTTCCTTCAAAAAGGGAGATGAGAGAAGGAGTGAGTGATGGGTTTTTAGCGGGGAAAGGCCGTGCCTACGGATGGCACACATAATACCTCCGAGCGGTGGGGGAGGGGGCTGGCTGGGGTGCCGAGGTCTCTGCCTTTTACGCCAGCCAGCCAGCAAACACACATGCATGCGATTTGAAATTTTAATTAGGGTGCCATGTGCTGATGACATATGGCGACACACTGACAGCTGGGCGTCCAGGTTCAGGAACAGACCTGGGTTCTGAAGTCACAGTTGGCAGAAGCAAAGTTCTCTGCTTGTGCGCTAGGTGCTAGCATGCCTGGAAAGTGCCCGGCCAGCATCACCCCGCCGCGCCCCGCGCCCTGGCTCGGGGACCTGCCTGCAGGGGCCACTGCTGCAACCCTGAGAGAGGGGAGGGTGCAGCAGGCAGAGACACACAAAAGGTGAAAAAGCCCAAAGCCCGTGCTCAGCTTCCAGCCAGAGAAGATTCACAACAGCACAGCCACTGATTTTGTGTGACTTCTCGGTCAGAGACCCTGGAACTTTCTCACTCTGTCCTCCTTGCAGGGGTCACCTGCCCTGTGACTGGGACAGGACACACAGCAGGGCACAGCCGTCACAAACTCTGGGCTACCTGCTCCAAAGTCCATCGCATTAAGCCCTTACGTAAAATCCAATAGGACTTAAAAGTCACATTTACATAGATTAGAAGATGAATCACGTTAGCAAAGTGTCCAGATTGAATAAAAACATTTTAAGACAACTTGTTAAGTATTAAAGGTCAAGTTGGCTAACTCTGTTCTGCTACCAGAATTTTTTCCCGTGATGAATTCAATGTTGGTCACTTTGACCTTTGAAGCTTAACAAGTTGCCTGAAAATGTCTTCAAATGGGTTAATGAATTGCCTTGTGGCTCCTTCATTGGCTTTTCCTGGCCCGGCTCTGCCTATTTATTCCACTTGAAGTGGGAATAGTCGAAGTCTGCTGTTTCTAGGCAAGTCTAGGACGCACAATACACAGAATAATAAGGTTTCTTAGCCAAACCACGCAATATTAAGACAGCCATTCTTTAAATCCTTCTCTACCTACAGACTCCTTCTGAGCTATAAATCTTTGACTGTGAAGAATGAGGGTAAGTAAAAGTACATGCCAAATCGCACCATCTACAACTCTGTGGGAACTCTGAGTTTCTAGCCAATAAGCAATGAAATTCTTCTGGGATATTATAACTACAACGTCCAAATCCTTATCTCTTCCTTGCATTCCAAATACCGCTATCAAATCAGCCAAATGAATTTAAGGCAGAACTACCACAGAAGTAGAAATTCAAAATTCATCAATTTGATTAAAAGCCAGCAATTTACTGCTTCCCCTATTCAACTGAACACACACACACACACATGTGTACACACGCACACACACACACACTCCTTCAAAGTTTGTAAACAGTTCTGACATACAGGAAATTCCACTTTATATTTTACTATTAGTATTGTTATTATTAAGCCGAGAAACTGATTTACATCACATTTTATTTCACTTCAACTTAATTTTTGGAAAGCAACAAAACAAACTGAAGATTAACATCAGCCGTTTCAGGCTTCAGACAACACTGCTGCAAGCTGGGAAATACAGATACTAGAATTTACACCCTCCAGTTGTAAGCCCGTTAACTCGTTTGGATAGCAAATACGCATTCTGCATACAGCTACCCCTAAAAAATTAAGCATGCTGATAAAACAAACAACAAATACCGTAATCTCCTATATATTAGCATCAGCTCTGAAATAAAATACCACTGGCCAATCATATTGCCTATAAAACTTGCTCTACACTAAGAACGCAATAAATTGTATCTTCAGTAGCAACAGAGAAAACCAAAGGCATATATATTCTCAATTCTAGATATTTTCCAAATTTATCTCAAACTAGCTTTTACCTAGTTCAAGTGAAGGGTCCTTTAACTTGAGTAACAGTCCCACGGTCCACAGATCTAGGAGCTTACCACACAGTACTGAATACTGCCTTGGGGAACGTACATTTTTTTAGCACTGCTAAAATCCTCTATAAAATTTACACAAATTTCTTGTCCAAATCAAGTGTTAGGTATTGATTCCTAACGCTAGACTTTCAGTACAGCTACAACTTTCTCAAAAGATACCATTAAATTTCTCTTAAACCCACCAATAGCACCTACACACAAAAGAACACACCCCCAAAGAAAATTTAATTTTCTTTGTCAAATTAAAAGTTTATAAAAATGTGAGCTAGAGAGTTTTAAATACACTTTCAAATTAATATTAGCAAAATTGGAATCCACTTCTGGACAAATAAAGCAAAATCTATCCAGAAAGATCAAGTCTCTGTTACAGAAAAATTCAAGTTACTCCGTAAGAAAAACCAGGCTCATTAAAAACTGTTAGAGTATGTCACTCTGCTTTATTTATACGTGTATTTTTTCTGACAACTAAAACTAGGTTAATAAAAACTGCAAATGAATTTCTAGTCTCTGAAGTAATACTGTAAAGAAATAGCATTTAAAAGAGATGTATCTTATGGTTCTAAAAAAAAAACTGCTGCTAATTAAATGTAAATGTTCACTAAGTCTTTCATAGAATGGCAAATTACAGAACATTCACAGAAAATAAGCACCACCTTTGAATAGGCTAAAACTGTCAGGAAATAAAAGAATTCATAAATCTAATACTAAAGTAAAATGTTTAAGTACAGATAATATAGATAAGGCAATATATTTTTTTAATTTTTTAACATTTAGTGACATAATATAACCAAAAATAAGAAAAAGGCAGAGGTACAGAGGAGAGTATGGAAGAAAGGTCAGGAGAACAAAATTGTTCATGGGAGTAAATGACAGGTTAGAACTTGAAATACAAAGGATTCAAGAAAATCAAGATTTAAGTGAAAGATTTATAGTCCTTTGAGGTGCGTTTCACATACAAGTTGCACGTACTGGTCATTTTCTTACGTGGCTAAGATAATATTAACTAACAAGGGTATATATTCATGATTGCAGAAGGCCCTGTGATCAGAGCAGTCTTGAAAATGGAATCTCAGTTGAACAAAATTACCATTCCATGTAATAGAAGGGAAAGGAAAATCTAAATGCATACCTAGAACCTGTAAAGCCCGTACTGCAGAACAAAGAGAAATTAATTGGAGCTATTTCAGTATCGATTCCTAGCTACCATGGTTTTACATGTGGCAGCTACAGTCAGAGGAGCATATGTGACAAGAGGTGGTGACAGAAAGAAAGAGGTCTAAAGAATTGATTTCTCAGAGGGCTACAGAAAAAGAGCCAAGACTTTAAAAAGAGGAAATCGATGGGAAACTGATATGGATTCTATGCTGTACTTGCTTAGATATCTTTGAAGCTGTAAGAAGCTGCATATCATCAGAGTATCTGGATTTAATCCAAAGATACTCATTAAACAGTTTTGAGAACCCTAGAAATTAAGAGCTCTGAGCAACTTGTCAATAAGGGGCCAGGAATAGGGCATTTTTAATTAAAAAGAGAAGTGATCAGCATGGTGGGGTGGAAAGGGCACCAAACTCAGATTTGCTTGGCCACTTATCACCCAGAACCTGAACACAGGGCTCCTGCACCTACCAAATGAGCCAACAGAGTCAAGGTCACCACCTTTCCTGCCATCTCTACAGTTCTTCATTTCTATGACCTAATCTCCACCTTACAGGGTCTCCATGAAAATTAAATAAGTTGTATCGAAATTATTAAATGTTATTTTTTTAAATACAGGGCCTATTATTATGACCTAAAGTTGATGTGAATAAGAAAAAGAGGAATGAATGCCTCAAATGCAAAAAAGATGGAGAACATTCAGAGACCATATGATGCTTGTGCTACTGATGTCTCCAGAAAAAGTGACTCTGTTCACTCAGAAAGAAATCTGACAGCCATCTGAGACACGGTGTCTTTCCGAGGATCCGTATCTAAAAATCCTAGAACATAACAAAAGGTACTTTTGTCCACCAGTGACTTTGAGCCAAGTGTTGTGCTAAGCACTTCACATGAATGATTTCACCAATTTTCACGGCACCCTTATGAGTTATGTACGTGCTACTAAGCCCTTTTGGTAAGTGGGGGGAAATGACACTTAAAATGCTTACGACAAGGTCACCTAGCTCATATGGATTTGAACCCAGGTCTCTGATACTAAATTATTCTGTTAATCAGATTATCTAATTAATTATCAAATCAAATCAGTCTTGTTAATTTTAACTACCACATTACACTAATGCTGGTCCTCTCTGCACAAGCACTTCCCCTCTTAATTAAATTCATCGGGCCAATCAGTTAATTGGGTTAAAAAGTTAAGCCGACTTTGGATGCACGTAGACAAAGCCCTAAATGAAAATGCAAGCACAAGGAGACACACTCTCAAGAATCCGTCCTACAATTATCAGTCCTATGAGAGCGGGACGTTAGCCTTTTGGCAACAAGGACATTCATGGGGAAATTTTTACAGGGAAAAGTGTGCAGATCATAAAATAATAAATGCATTAAACCTGTTTCTGGGATATCTCGAATTTGCAATTTGTCCAGGAAATGTAGGATATCTGGGTATCATCTTTGATAGAAGCAAAATACAGCTGACTACAGATGATGGTCCTTTATCATCTCTTTTCTGCCCCGTTAACAGAGAAAACACTTGCAGAATAACACTGAAAAGCTCCTACTGCACCTTTTGTGGAGAGAGAAGGAATTATTAATTTTGACATCTATTAGAACACACTTATTTCTGTTACATCTCATTCAGAAGCTACTCTGTCTTCCTCTGGATGGGGACGGGACGGGGTCACGGAGGAGACAGAAGAACGCTAGACAGAGTAAGTGCTGGTTGTCCCCAGACGTAATTCTACCTAAGAGACTTCTAAGAGTGGAAAAGTTGGAAATGAAAAAGACCCTTCTCATAGCACTCAGTGACCACAAGAGACACACTGGAAGTCACAGAAAAACGTCTTTCCTTATACTTTTCTGCTCAACTATTCTGAGTAGCAGAGATAAAAAAAAATTTTCCCAAGCACGTGAACATTTTATAAATTGGTCCAAACCAAATACATGGTAGGTCTGGGGGGGACATACCCAACGGTAACAGCCACAGGTTTCCCATATCATAGGATTCTGACAGCACCTGCCAATTTTAAACAATACATGAGGCCAATCTGAAAAGTATTTAACAGAAGATCATAAGAATCTGAGTATTAACATTCTGAAGTGTGAGCAACAGAAATATTCAAATTTTGAAATCCAGGTTAGGGCCCAGTATGCAGTCAAAGGCCAGGATGCATAGTGGAAACTGCCTACGCCTCCTTAGAATACCAAATGTGACATCACCATGGATGACTAATGGAACTTCCTCTTGAGATCAGAAATACTTCCAAAACCACCTCCCACCCTTGGTGCTTCAGCACTTCCAGTAAATGAAGTCAAAAGTGAAAATATACACAAATCCCTCCTTATTTTGACATTTCAAACCTCAATAAAGGCTTAGTTCCACATGGTGGCCTAAAATTAGACAAAGTTTAGTAGACTATAGAAAGAGAAGGAAGTTTTCTGTTGGGTTATTTTTAAGAGGCTTCAAAGCTTGTTCAGTCCTTTTTTGTAAATTTTAAGACACAGTTTAGAAAAAAGGAAACAGGTCTTTGCAGGGGCAAACTAAATTCCAAACTCACACACTCAGAAGAGGGTTATCCCTACTTAGTGACTGAAAGACTAACGGCTTCCTAATGACTGAGCCGTATTTGGGAAGCAAGGCAGGTCTTGGATTTGGTCAGTGCCATCACCCCCATTTTGTGTTACGGAAGAGAGAGCAAGAGTGAGGGAGAGAGAGGGAAAAGAGGAGGGAGGGAGGAGACAGATCAACGGAGAGAAGGGAGAGAAACTGATCTGAAAATCACACATCGAGAAGGGATCAGAATCCACAAAGATGCACATCGCCACACTCTCCCAAAGTCCTCCCAAACAGAGCTTCTGTCTCCACACCAGAAGCTGATGGCGTCAAAAACCTTCAGCACTCTCTCCTGCCTAATTGAATTGGTGCCTGTAATGGGAGGAAGCTGTTTCTCAGAACCGAAATGAGCGGTGCTGGGAAAAGGAGGAGGCCAGCAAGGCAGGCTGCAGGCAAACAGAATTGGCGGAACAGGCACCAGATTCTGCGGAAAGCAAATCCTGTTTAGCCCTCATCCATCCAGGTCACGGTGAAGCCCGTATCGTAGCAACTTGCGACTTTAAACACTACTATTCACTTGGTCATTACTTTCTCTTGGTCCCTTTCGCCTACCCCTATTTTTGATAGCCAAATCCTTAAATGAAAGCAGAGACTATGAGAATGTTGTCAAATTTCAATAATGCTCAAAGGGGGAAAAAAAATCGCCAATCTCCTAATGGTTTGGTCTAACATTCTTTCTGGAGTTACCCAGTAACAGATTCATGTAGCTAAGCACTGTAACACTGAGCTGAAGTACTGAGAAAACATGCCTGAAATTTACAAGCAGGCCTCACTTGCTAGTTTAAAAAAAAAAATTAAACAAAAAAAAGCGTCCCACATTTTTACTGCCATGTTTCTTTATTTATTTATCTTTAATTTATTGTGGTGTCAAAGCCCATGTCTGGTCTTGGAAAAATTCTGGCACAAAGCTGGCTTTTTATAGTACCAGACCATTAAAACTACAAAACCTCAATTAAAAAACTGCCAGAAGATTTTGGTGCTCGGTACCAAAAATGATATAAAGCCTGCCACAGGGAAGGGAAGGCAAGGAGTGCCTTCTTGCAAGAAATCCAAGTGTAAGTCTCGGAACTAAAATCCTTGATGCAAGGGCAACCAAACAGAGCCTATACTTTAAGTATATTATCCAACTCATATTCCTGGGTGCTGATTTCACACATATTCTGATTCCTAACTTCAAACTAAAGGTCAGAAAGCATTTTGTTTGTTTCAGTAGCTGGCCCAAGTCAGACCCAATCAGTTACATCACAAACTGTGTAAATGATAAAATTTGCAACAAATCCTGAGACAGATTAGCTACCACTCTACCCTACTTGTGTCTGAATAAATGCAAAACATTCCTGTGATGTAACCATAAAAAAAAAAGATGCAGTTATGTGTGTCTGTTTTACAAGCACAAGACTGGAAGCCATGAACTTAGAACTTTAAATTACAGTTCTGACAGAAGCCCTACTCAGGAAAATGACTTGGCCTCCTGGAGTAATTCCTTATTCCAACCCATGCCTAGCCCAATTCTGGTAGCACAGAAATAATAACTATCTGGCAAACAAAGGAATTCCCTTAACCTCGTGGTGCTGGGGTGAGAATTCATTAGTCCAAAGCACCACGAAGATGGAACTAACTATTCTGACTAGGGACCCTTGGGATGATTAAGACGATGGATGGCTCTGGAGTCACCTGACTGGTACCAACTGTCCACTCAGAAAACAGGACGAATAATGGTACCTCACTCAGAGGGTATTGTGAGGATTAAATGAAATAACTGACATGGAGGCTTAGAACACTGCCTGACACATGGCAGCTTTCAATAAATGCTACCAATATTACCAAGACTCAATAGCATTATAATCAGAAATAGCCATATAGGACATTTTCCCTTATCCTGAAACAGTAGACGTGAACTCCAATGTGATCCAAAGCAAATCAATCCATCAGTAAGTATTTAATGAGTGCTGGGGACCCCGCACTGCTGGCACTCTGGTTGGCCAGCTCTCTTTATATGTAAGACAAGCAAGTCTTTCTTAATACAGGCAAATTGATTCACTGGTATTCATTTGAAAACAGGGGAAGCGACTTATGGCATATCTTTTGGCTACACTGAGAACCTTCTCTCCACACCTGAACACCAAGTCCTAAAGCCAGGTGCTACCAAGACAGAGCACAGACAGAAAGGCAGAACTCGAGGAGCTGTGGCCTGAAGGGCAGGCCCAGCCCCACACCAAGTCTTCAGGACCCTTGCTTTGTCTGCCTTGGCTTCCGAATCCCCCTCATCTTCACCTTGCCTGCCCTTCACCTGCTTTCTCCTGGCCACAGAAGACCACCCACCTCCTTGACCCCTCACCTTGCCTACATACACCCCCGGGCTTGAGGACTTTGAAATGATCACAGATAATCTGTTTGGTTCCTTAGTAGTCTCACTGCCTGACTAGCCACGATGCCCCCAGATTTATGACAGGTACCAAGCGGACCATCTTCTTATTACGCATACCGTGTGTCATCTTCACGACGAGCCTGTAACCGCGGTATTACTATCCTTATTCTACAGACGAAGAAACACCGACTATACCTAAGGGAAGTAATTTGTCCCCGGATGGAATCACACACACAGGGCTTTGAATATCAACTCAGGCACCGATGATTATGACCGCAACTATTTAACTTGGAAAAAACACAAACTAGGCACGTCCTGGTAGCAACAGTTAATAGTAAAAATAATGACTAAAGTTGGCCCTAACTGTTAAAGAAGGAAATTTTCAGGTACACTAAATGACTGATGACTAACTTAGAAGAACAGATTTCTGTCCACCATAAATGCCCTAGAAGATTAATTACAAAATTCGCAGCAGCAGCAGCAGCAGCAGCAGCAGCAGCAGCACAGAGTTAAATACTTTGCCTAAAATCAAACAGGGCCAGGTGACAGGGCCAGGATTCGAACCCACATTACTAAATTATTCTGTTTCAAGACCCAAGAGTGAATGCACAATTCATATGGGGAAAAAACAAATTTTTCAAGCTAAGATAAAAAAGAAAGAAAAGAAAAGAAATCTCTAGCATCTTGTTCTTAGTTCCCAGTATACATCTCTCCTTGCAGTCCAGCGCACAATAGGCACTTTTGTTCCCCTCAGCAAAGCTATTTATATGTTGTAACTCTTGGTGCTTTGGGGGACTGTATTCTTCCTTCTTGAAATCTAAAGATGGCTCTGTAAGAAGACTTTCAGGATAAGCCAACTCTGTCCCAGTTGAACAACGTGCCAGGCCAGGCCCACCACCTCTGGAATACAGAGGCCACCTCCGCCAGGAAAGCAGAGAGAGAGAGAGACTGCGGGACCGCCTCCCAGGAGGACAGCCTCACCCCCGTCACAGAAGGGCAGGTCCACTCCCCCGGAGACCCACTGCGACAAGGGGACAAGGGGAACTGCGGGATGATGAGGCTTGCCCTGGTTTTTAGCAGGTACAGAACACAGCTGCGTGAAACAGGGGCATCTGTGCAGTTCCGAGGTCCTGGAGGCAAGGACACATTAGGGGCTTTTCTAAAATGTGCGCCCTGGGAGGAAGAAACAGAAGCAAGCTGCAGGCAGTCAGCACGTCCGCCTCCGGCAGATGAGCAGAGTCCTGGGGGCCCGGCCGGGCTGCAGCCCCCGGTGTGGGAGGGGAAGGAACACAGCCGTCTGAGGCTGCTCTCTGCCGCGGCGCAGGGAGTGGGTGGCAATATTGAGTCTAAACGGAGCGCGTCTCCAAACCACCAGCGGGGCTCCTGACACTTCCCCGGGAAAACAAACTGCCTCACAGATGCATCGATTTCTGAGCTGAAATATAAAACGGGAAGAGTAATTTTTAAATTCCTAAGGCAGCCATGGCAGTTGGAGAGGCAGCTGAGGGACGACGCTAGCAACCTGGGTCGTGGGCCATTTCAACGGCCGGGAACTCGCTCCTTTTGGAGGTAGCTGTGCCACCACAGAGGCTTCCAGAAGAAGAAGGACTCAGGCCGGTCACAGGGGACCCCAGACCTCATTTCCGTGTGGCTAAATATATTATAACACTAGTTATGGCACACATTTGCTCACTGCTTTCCATATGCTAAGCAATATGGTGAACACTGTACCTGAATTATCTCATTTAACTCTCATAATCGCCCGGTAAGGTTGGTGGATGCTGTTACAGCTGACATCTTACCAATAAGGCAACAGGGGTAACAGGGTGAAACCAGCTCTTTACAGAACCTGTCAGGGCTGACTCACATGCTTTCACACATTATGAAAGTGGAGTGGAGCACAGTGGATGCCCAGTGACGAAGCAGGATCAGCCTTCATGTCCTCACAGCAAGCATGCATGACATCCCAGGACGGACATTTAGGAGTTGTGCCACCCCGAGCAAGCCACTTAACCTCCCTTTGGGTCCGTTCCTTTCTCTGTAAAATGGGGATAATTGTACTGCTTCACATGGACACTAAGAGGATTAAATGAGATAATATATGTAAAACACTTAAGAATCTTGTGCATTAGTGAAAGAATTACATAGGCATTAGCTGCCATCATTTTATTATTATCTCTAAGGAACATATTTTACCTAAAGGGCAACTTAATCTGGCTCCATGCTCCTTCCCCCAGGGCACCTCTGCTGCCTGCTGGCAGGTAGTTGCTCCCCCTTCTGTGTTTGTTAGTGCTCTGTTCACGTATCCTTAGAGCTTTTGGCACGACGTATGGGCGGTAATTCACCTACAACAGGTAATTTACACAGATGCCTCTTCCACGGACTGGACGGCTGGGTGGAGAGGACTGTCCCTTACCACAGCTGCACTCCTGCTGCCAGTGCCCAGCCTGTCACACTGTTATTCACAGCAGCAGAAGGAACAACAGTAGTAACAGTCAGTGCTTTTGCGCTGAGAGTTTTACATATGCTATTGCGTTTCATCTTCACAATAATCCTATGATGAGGGAACTATTTTGAACTCTGCTTTACAGAGGAGGAAACTGAGGTGCAGAGTACCTGAATCTGCTGCTTCAGTTCACATCACTGGTCAACGGCAGAGCCAAGATTCAAGGACAGGCCACTGACGGGCCAGTGCTTTGTCCTCTCTCAAACATCATGCTCTGCTGACTCGCCGCAGAGATCTGAAAGCATTACTCTAACAAGGCATTTTATAATAGAAGTTTTCTTAGTATAAGTAATAAAATACAGGGTTCTTCTGTGAAATCTAAGGTAAATGAAGTGTGTATTTTCGAGTACTCTAACTCGCCCAACATTTCATTCCCAGTGTGCCTACACGTGGTACAAAAAGTAGAAAACAGAATGGTTAATACGATTCCTATCACTGTGGGACTGAAAACAAGTCTAAAACGAGTAATCAAATAAATCAACAAGACCATTTCAGACTGCTAAAAGTGCTATGAAAAACAGCAATGGGAAGACTGCCTTCAGATAGAATGCTGCTCTACAGAGATGTCACTGGAACTTGGAGCTGAAAGGTGAGAAGAAGCCAGCCTCAGCAAGCGCTGGGGGAAGTGCCTCCTAAGAAGACAATGAGGATGGAAGAGGTTGGCCGGTTTCAAAAATCAAAAGGAGGCCAGGAAGGCATCCAAGGAGTCCGTGGAGAGGAGACTAGGCAGTATCTGTAGGCCACAGCAACAAGTTTGGATTTTATTCTAAATCCATGGGAAACCATGAGAGGTTTTTGAGCAGAGGAACAATAATAACATTTTAAAAACTAATTTAATTCTTTAGAGACATTCTGGCTGCTGTGTGAAGGAGCAAGAATGGAAGAAGGTAGAACGCCCAGGATTACAGAAGTAGTCCCAGGAAGGATGGTGGTGGCTTAAACGAGGGAAATTCCCTTTTTCCCTTTTCGATTGACAAATTTCCATACAAAAACTGAAGATGTGTTTTATACTTACGCCAGCTGTTTATTCAAAATCCACTTCCAGCACCCTTAGAGCACAAAAGGATATTTAACTATCTTCCCTAATGTCTTCTTTCTACTTATGTGGAAACTGAGGCACAGAGAGCTCACATGACTTGCAAACACCACACAAGCTGTTAACAGCCGACTTCACTCGAAGTCAGATGTCGGGGCAAAAACATAACACAACATGTAAACGTACAAAGTTTCCTCTTGTTCCTAATAAGCCTGCCAAGATTCCGTATTTGGAATTTGCAGTTATCTTTAGATTTAAGTCTCTTTATGTGCTTAAATCTCTCGTTAATTCTTATTTGAATATTAAGTAGCCCATCGTTCAGCTGAGACACAGACAGTGAGCCTACAGGGTTAAAAGAATTCAAGTCAAGCCAGAGAACTGCCTGTTAATGTCTGGGGAAAGTTCATAAAAGCAATTTTAAACTCCTCTGTTTTCTTTCAGTTCCTTCCTTCGTGTTTATGTGCAAATTATACCTTACTCTCTAGGTTGCACTTTGCCATCTTCCTCCCGTTTTCCAAAGAAAGCTCCCCAAAGTGACAACGCTTTAAAAAAAAAAAAAGAAGAAGGGGGGGGCCGCCGTATGAAGTTCCTCCGAGTTCCTGCTCTCTTCGAGCACGGCTCCTATCACACAATAATGTGTTATTTTGTTGAATTTTGGCATCCCTCGCGCTTGTTTGGTCAGAAGCCAAAAAATTAGAGTGTGTCGGTCCACCAGTTTCTCAGCAAGAGAAGCTCTCTTCTCACCCAGCGAGTGTGCTGTACCCTTGGCCTCTGGCCAAGCAGGGAAATCCATTTTACATAAAGAATGCACAAAGCTCAAGTGCTCAGAGACTTTTTACCTACTAAAATAACTTTATGGACAAATGCCAGTCTGCTAGACACATTCTGCAGGAACATTTGGCATGCAAAGCAAGGTAAAGTGCTCTGTGGAGGTAGCAAGTTTTCCAGCGACGAGGAAATGGCTGAGCGTGCCCTCGTGGCGCGTCACGTGGCCCGGCTGGGCGGCGCCATTGGCTGCGGCCGAGTAAATACAGCCGCCATGTAAGGAGCCAGCGTCGCCCTCCGCCGGCTCCTTAAAATGGCGGCCGAGCCCGCACCGCGAGGGGCCGGGCCGGGCCGGCGAGCCCCGCTCCCCACCTCCCCCCGCCGAAGGTTTTTGTTTTTGTGTTTGTGTTTTTCACGAAACCTTACGGATTTGAGTAGAAACAGATTTCTCGCGACTTGCTTCTCCGGCTCGATTTCACAGTTCGGCATACACTCAGGCTCTGTCAAAAGCTTGACAATGTTCCAGGGAAAATATTAACTGTAAACTTTCCAAGAGGAATTAAAGGAGCAGGCAGAGATGTCAGGACGTCCGCCCGTCCCAAAGCACATCCCAAGGTCGCGCCCGGGGACGTCTGGGGAGGAAGCACGTGCGGCCGAGCGGCGGGGACCCGCAGGACGGTCCCACCACGCGTGTCGCTCGGTGCAGGGGGCGGGGGACAGAGGGACGCATCCTCTCTGGCAGAAAGGCACGAAGAGGCACGGAGGTCCCTCACGCTCCCGCTCAGGCCTGACCAGTTGAACACTGCACACTCTGATGTATAAATATTTGCCTCTGGCTAAAGTTCAAGCAGCCCTGTGTGGCTGCCAGACACAACAGAAAACCAACATCCAAGGGAAAGTGTTTACTGCAGTGGTGGCCAAAGGAGCAACTGCCAGCAAAAGATCGCATCTGATTGGCCAGGCCTGCCTGTGGTGTTATCATAAAACACCTGGCCACTGGCCACTGGCCACTGGGGGGTTCCCACCCTTTCAGTGATGGTTAAGTTCTTTACTGCACAGCCTTGCCACAGTTAATCCAAGACCAATAGACATGCTGATGGTTTTACATGTGTTCCTCCAGAGAGAGGGGCCTGAATGAGCCAAACCACCCGTATACCTGCTACCACTACTGCAAAACAAGTGTCTGCCCCTTGGAGCTACCTCAGGAGGGCCTCTGCCCTTTCCGCACTGCCCCGCCTCACCAAACCACGGGCATTTCTCAGGTCCAGTGGCTCCTGCACACATCCCGGATCTCACCCCTAGCTATCCTATCACTAAATCCCTCAATCATCATCGTTTGATGAATTTAAGCATCTTTGAAATTCCTGCAAGGAAATCACTTAGGAGACAAATTACCTCTGATAGCCGCAATAGGATATTTTAAATAAAGCAGTGCATCCTTCAAATTCTCTCTTCAAAAACCAAAACATACATTATGCTATCTTACCAGTACTATAGTTTTGAAACAGGGAGAAATGAAAGCACCTGCCCATCAAAAGATTAAGATCTCTAACTGGGATAAAGAAACTGAATTAAGAAGAGGATCTTGAGAAAAATCTTTCAGAAAAGTTATGAATTCATAGTTTATGCTAAGCAAGTAGCTGGCAGGGCAAAGTCTTTTCATAGCTTTCAGTATTCAGAGCAGTTTGAATACAACCAAGATAAGTCATCATATTTTTAAATCATTGTCATCCACATAATATTTCTATTTCATAAACAAGAATGCTTGAATCAAACTTTTCCTTAATGTTGCAAACAAAACATTTCTATTTAGTTGAACAGAAAGTTATACAGAAAATGGGACAGAAAAAATCAAAGAATATGAGATAAGAGCTTTTTTTAAGTAAAATTTTTGATATTATGGAAGAATAATTTAGGTAAAGAAAGCCACTATGTTATGTTATGGTTTCATCTGTTTCAACTAAAATACACATTTGCTTAATTGAAACATTCACTGTCTGGTGAAAATAAAGAAGAGTTTACATCCATACAGAATTTAGAGTTCTAACTATGAACATTCTTCTAGGTCCTGAATTTTCATTGATCTTAGGCTTAAAGAAATTTCTAAATTTGAATTTATTGCAAAACTAAGATAATGTACCAAATAATTCCATTTTCAACTCTTTGTGAAACTTTAACAACTACGTAGATCTTGTCTAATCTAATTCTTAACCAAATGTGTCGGTAAGGTTGATCTGTCTTCAACCTCAGAAGCCCAGGACTTATAGTATCAAGTTTGACTTCCAAGAGATCCCAGCGAATCATGGGCAAGTGGATCACAGAGGAATGTTCTGTTCCCAGCTGTGAACAAGACAGAATTAACTCTGAGATGCTTCCTCCTGCTGCCCTGGTGGACAGAAAGGTCAAGATGGTTAGCTCTTATGGTCTCAGTACCAACCGTCAAAACAACATGCAGGTTAAAAATAGATTGTCTGTAGGCAACCAAAATACAAGTGCAGAAAGAATTTAAAATAAAAATAGTTTCAATATATTTAAATTGCAGCTTCAAGTATTCTAAAGACTGCAACATGAAACCAAGGAGAAAAAGGACAGAACAATAATTTTCCCAAGTGCATTAACTTCACCAACTTTGAGTCTTAAAATTTTAGAAAACAACCATTCTGACCCATGGATGACACTTTTCTTAGGAAATTCCTTGGATTCACAAGTAACTCATTGGGAATTACAGCGCAAAAGGCAAATTTACCACTTTCACTTGTTTATATTTTGATAACTGCATTTTTCTCAGCTCAATTTCTATGGAAATAATATTGTTTACTGTCAGAGGAATTTCTTTATCCATCAGTGGGGAATAGAGTTGAAATATTATGAGGGTTTTTTTTTAATGCAATGAAATAATCAAGACATTCCAAGGTGCTATGATACATCCATTCTGTCATAACTATGCAGAAAAACAGGGGTAACTGCTGTTTTGTATGTAACTATGATACTTAAGACTTATCACCAAGCAGCATGTTTAATAAAGTCTGTGGCATCTGTAAGATAAAATGTTAAAACATTATTAAAACTAAACTGG